GAACTATGTTCCTAGAGAAATGTTGAATTCGGTCATTTCAGGTCAGTGACCTATTCTGACCTTTCAAAGGTCCAAATAGCAGGGCACAAAAATATTCCATGGACTTTCGAAAAAACCATGTACGATGCGGTTTCTGTTATCAAGAAATTCGAAATGAGCACCAGAAGCTACCTCATACAGCAAGCCCTAAAGTAATAAAACAGATTGGTCTTGACCTTGGTCCGACCTTTATACCCGACCTTAGGCCAGGTGAACATTTTCATTCAATTATCTCAGAGAGTATCTCAGAGATGTGTGGTCTCGTTCAACAATCCGTCGTTGCATCATCGTAAGCGATTCTTTAGAAATTGACCTAGCCTTATCTATGGCCTGATGTTGGCCTGCCATAGGTCAGCGACATTACAAGGTACAACTCGATTGTTAATTCCAAACGATTCACCATTAAATTGTCTATAGCTATGCAAAATTTAGCGCGGCTACGCTACGACGTTCGGAAACCATTTCGGAAAAACTTGGGGGTCAGTTCGACTTCCTACCCGAGCGCGTGTTTTAAAGCCAGACGATAGAAAAGGCGGCAATGTTTATACTTAGAGGCAGTATTCAACACTTTTCAAAACCCTGTGTGCTTCGAGCCGCCATGAATTTATTGGACAAGGCAACAGCACACACAGAGGCTAAACTCTTTTAACATCTGCTCGGGTGGGGGAGGGAGAAAATTTGCCCCAAAGGTTTTTCAGAATAGTTTCCGAACAGAAGGGCGCAGCAACGTCAAAATTGTCATAGCTGCATATATTTTAACGGTGGGTGTTTAAGTATGCAAAATTAATGTATCTTATAGAGTAACTGACCTTTAAAGGGTCAAGGTCAGGCCGTGGCGCTAGCGAAGGCCATTGCTCGGGAAATCGTTCAATCTGATACAATAACGGTGTGTTCGACGGAGGCGTACATGTTTTACATTGTTTGTTTCTCAGACGATTATACCATTTGATTTAGGGTTACGAAAAATTCAATTGGCCTTGGGTAACGTATGAAGGTCAGACTGAAGTCAAAACCAATCTCCTTTTGTACTTGGAGCCTGCTCTCTTGTGTGGCTTTTAATGTTCATTTCCTATTTCTTGATAGCAGGGATAGAACATCTTTTTGGACTTTTTCAAGGATCGTAGAGGATCACTGACCTAAAATGATCTAGATTAACCCGTTGTTTTCATAAACATACCGCCTACGACAATCCTTCACGCCCATTCATTTTCTTTTTTTATAAAGCGATCTCTTATATTTTCGATTACTATGACTCCCTAAAGGTAAAACAAGGTCACCGATCTAAGATGCACACCAGTGACCTTTTGCTTAGAACAAGGATCTTGGTCAAGGCGGTTGCATTAGGTCTGTGGGAACCTTGTACACCAATCTGGAGCTTGACTTTATTTAACCTCCTTTGGCCCAAATTTCATGGCCTAGTGACCTCCCATTTTGACAGAAGTGAGTTTACATAAACGCCAACCGAATCCGGGAATTTTGTGTATCTAACTTTGTACACTTTGGGATCTCGGGAAGTCAAATTGACTCTCTCAAGCGCGTCACATTTAACCGGCCGTCCGGGTGCGTGTTCGGAAACAAAACGTTGTAAGGCATCTCGTTGAAACGTAACTGCAGATATGATGTGGTAGTGTTTGCAGTTTTAAAAATGTCACACGATACATAAAATGATCAATTCAGTTGTGAATGATCAGCAACGCAACTGGCCATGTTTTAGCTTTGTCTGAACTCGTTTCACTCGAGCGTTCAACGTTGCACTCACCACGAAACCATGACGGCATATGATCTTGCCTTCTCACTGAATGCTAATTTTTCCCTTGCTGACTGTCTTGCAGAACACTTTTCTTTCTGCAGGTTGTCCTGAGGATCGGTGCACATTTAATCAAAATTAAGTTGATGTTTCGGGTGAGTATCTTGATTTGGTCTAGTAAGCCTCAAGGTAAGCTATCAACCTATGCGTTTATCAGACACCTAGTCTCCCCACATATTGGGTAGACTCCTTGGCGTGACTTTCCTAATGGCCTGAGTTTTGTCGGGAAGAGGGTAAGTGAATGCCCACAGCAGCCTACTCGTACTCCCGAAACCGTGTCAAGTGTGCTTCTTTGCTTGGAGAAATTGAGGCTCGCCTTTCCCACGGCATTATCCCACGGTCTTTGGAGGCAAAAAATGCACCAATTTTGGGGATGGCGGCTAATAATGAAAACAAATCAAGATCAATTAATTCTAAGTTAATAATCATACTCATTTCATGTAGGTGTTTCCTGGTAGGCAAGACTTTTTAACGGACAAAAAAGTGTAAAATGAGGGTTACGCGGAAAGCGTAAAACGTGGTTTGCTTGTTTATTGTTGCTGGACATCCACACTGTTGACAGCTATGTGGTGTTTATATATATACATATGTATATATATATATATATATATATATATATATATATATGTATGTATATATGGCAACATAGATTGGAAGAATATTTTTAGTTAACCCTCGCCCTGATTGGGAGAACTCGATGCGACACCTACCCTTAAAGTTTTTTGTTCGGATACCCCTCCGGCATTTTGTTTAATGCGCCCAAATGTTCAGTGGCCTATCAGGGATTCATTGCGCGTGTTGCGCCAACAAATACGTGTTACTGGCTTTTCTGCTTTCGGAGCAGGAGTGGTTTTTGAGGAACACTGCACGGCGACCTACGGCATGAGCGGGTGGGCAACAAGCGAAGATGCCGCGTAACGCGCGAGGCGGGCCGACATTGTCACGGTAACGTAACTATATGTAATAAATTTATGCTCCAGACAGGTAAGAATATACGCCAATGTACTCGGGATTGAAAAATGAACACGGCTGTGGCGACACATCTTAGTATCGCCACACCGACTAGCCTCGATTGTGTGACGTGCAGCTGAAAAAGTATAATTTCCTGACAAATTTGACATTTGACCTGATATAATGGAGTTAATTATGGAACTAACCACGTAAAAACTAAAAGCCATCGTGAGATCGTGGTCAGGCTAATCCACTGGTGGTTTTCAATAACCTCTATCTTTATTATTTTGGAATGATTTGGAATTATTTGGAATTATTCGGAATGCACAAATTATTTTGGAATTTTTGGAATTTTGGATTCAATAACCGCTATCTTCATTATTTTGGAAACGCCAGGGGTCGCATGCCCCACCCCCCTTTTCCTTCCGGGTTATGAAAAATGGCGAATCAGGGTGAGAGCCTTGGGGAGTAATTGAACATAAGAAGTAAACGGCGAATGAGGGCGAGTGCTAAGCAAGTGATAGATATTACTTTCAAGCAGCACTCTGGATCCATTAGGTAACTGGCCTTATTACATGAACCAGTTAAATAATTTTCACCTTAGCGGTGCCACTAAGTCTAATGTCCGGCATCAAACACGGTGTATCATGAAGCCTGCTAATCCGGAATTTGCGATCGTTTTTTAATCAAGGATATATATATATATATATATATATATATAAATTTATATAAAAGCGGGTGTATTGAGATGCCATTGAAAGCATGTAAATGGTTGCTATATAAATATCGCATTTTTATAGTATTTTTAGTTGGATAGCTCTGAGTCGTTTCAGGCCATTGGTGACCTAGCATTTAGTTCGGGCATCTCAGGCGAAGCGTCATTGACAACGCGCTTATAATGTGCTCCGGTGTTGTTACTCCTTGTTTTCGTCGGGTTTGCTCCTAAATGTGATGCTCCCTCGCAAGTGACACTCTGGTGTCATTAGGCAACTGACCTTAAGTTGACCTCTGATCACGGCTATTAGTCATTGCATTTCAGCCACACAGTTGGCCGTAATTAACAGAATATACTTTTTGCACGCTTCTACCTCGTGGTGTCGCCCTCCCTCATTTGCGTTAATACTGCCTGAAGATGGCATCATAGGTCAGTTATCTATGGTAACTACGCACTCTGACATTTGGCATCTTGCGTTATGGTGGCGTAATTTGCTGTTTTTCTCACATTTTGGTCTAAAGGCTTTGCCTGTTGGTTGCAACTGTAGGCTACATCAGAGTCCAAACAAGCCACCGCCATAGGTCACCGACTTAAACCGACATGTGCCGACTTAAGCTAAAACCCACTAGCCAAACCCACTAAAAACCCTCTAATCCTTAAGCCCGCTAACTAAAACCCACTAAGCTTTAAAACCCACTAAGCGTTAAAGCCCACTAATCATTAAACCCCACTAAGTCTTTGGGCCCCAAAACTAGGTCTTAAAGCCAACTAACTAAGCCGGCGTGTGTTTTTTACTTTTCGCTTAACGCTCTGTAGTAGCCTGATATATGGTATACATAGGTATAACCTTGTATCTCTTTCAGGGGCCCTAGCTCACCGAACATGGCGCTGCCTCACCTCCTAAAAAAAACACGTCAACCTCATTGGCAAAAGCGATGGAGGGAGGTGTCTGGCATTACTCCTGCCTCCCTTCCCCTCGCTCCGTCTCCCTTCCACCTGTGGGTCTCGCTGCCCCAATGCTTTTTATTAAGTGCCATCTCTGATAGTATACTGCATCTTAACCCCTTTGATGTGCTGCGCTTTCTCACCTGTACAATACGCGTGTGTGCCAATGTGCCAGGATTATCAGGGCATAATAACAGCTGTTGACCTAAATTTTAATTGAAACACGACTCGCAAACAGATTGAAAAAAAATATTTTCCGCGTGATAAGGCGCAATGTCGAAAATTTTTCGTAAGTTTAAATTCAAGGTCAGGTTAAGTTAGGTCAGGTCGAACCCGACAAAAAGCCCTCCGGAATGCACTCTTCCCCTTCAAGCATCCCCAAGATCCCCTTCCCAATGCAACACCCACTACCCGATCATCGTGGCCGCGCCCGCCCGGCACGCGCATGCCCGGAGGCAACCGGCACCGGGTATGGTCAAGTAATGCTATCCGCGCGCGCAGGCGCAGTGCGGTACATTCCGTTGTCGGTGGCCGCGGCGCTCGGGGCGCCCACCAGTCGAACTCGCACTTGGCTGCGTCCCGGACTCGTCCAGCTGCAGGTACGAAAATACGCCGGCGCGCTCCGCGCCGACCGGGCGAGATCCGCGCCGCGGAGGTGTGCTGTGCAGTGAGTGCGCGTGCAGTGTCTGGCTACGGTAAATCCAAGTCTCGTCGAATGATGACTCCGCTGGATCTGGATGTGCTGGCAGGGAGTACCAGTGTGATAGACCGGAGAGAATCAGAAATCTTGCTATAGCTGACCTGTTTACCCAAATGGCGTATCCTGTACCAGCTTTTTATTTCAGAGAATCGGGCAAAATCGAACGATGAAGCATACCTGCACATACTCATGTATAACTCCTAGATCTGTTTATTCAAGGCCTCATTTGTATTCACCTTTGGGTATTTCTTTTTGTACCATTGAGGGTTTGGGATGGCTACCCTCAGTATATTTTAGTGATACCATGGAAGCATTTAAGACTACAGGTGCAGTGACGTGAAAGGTTAACGAGTTCCTTTGACACACGTGGTGCGGGAGCGTTCATAAATTACGCTACGCATGGAGGGAGAAGGGGTTTGGATGCGGTGTAAACAAAGCGTAACAAGTGGGACAGACGGGTCCAAGACAGCGCGACGTGTCGCCCTAGTGAGGTTGCAAATTATACTTAAATATCTTTAAATATTGTAACACGAACCCCGGGGAAGGATACTTTCACCTGGCGTAACCAGCGTGTAACCGGGCGTAAGGTTGGAGAGATGGTGAAATGTATGACGGGATTTATGCGTGGCTTCCAAACGAAGAATGCCATTCATTCATTGCACGCAGAGCCAGTACCCTCCGTCGTATTTTCTTAAATGGGGACATCAGGCTTGTTTTGAATGTTTTACTTGCGAGGGCCGGCCTACAAAATTTTGTATCTGGCATGTTGGAAGCTGCCTTAGAACTGAGCAGGGAGCAGCCAAAGTCCTTACAGATAACATGCTGGCTGGTCGTGCTGAAACAGCAGTCATGTAATCAAACGCTCCGTTGCGAGGCGAGACGTTAAGCGAACTACAAACGGCCCGCTTCAGAGCAGATCCATGAGCAGAATAGATCCATAGGTGCTTCTGCAACATGTATCTTAGTACCACGTATCACGTTTCAGTCAGAGGCTCGCATACTGTTGAAGGGGTCGGGCCCTCCAACTGATTTCAGATTTCAACGGCAGGTTCTTCCCATATGGTCATGCCTGGCAATACCTCACAATCAGAAAATTACTGCTGGACCTAGTCATTTGGAAAGTGACACCTCCTGTTTGGCCCCTTTTGCAAGTGCTTACAAAGCTCTGTAATGTATCATGAAATGGGTTGTGCCAAACGGTATCTGCAGTGGATACCCTACCTCTTACGTAGCCGTCTCAATCTTGGTCTTATCTAATTGGTTCTTATCGGCTCTCACTTCAATTTTGGTCAGTATATACCCCGATACTGGTGGATTCGCTCCCCATGCCTCCACCAGCCTGCTAGCTATCACTTGTCATTGGAACACGTATCCGCACTGTGCTCCTGTTCCAGTTCTGAATTTTTAGGTTTGGCATTGAATAACGGTGTCATGCATTTTCTGTGGCTGCGTATCTCGCTGTCGTGTTTTAGTCGTGTGCTGGGCCATCCACCGAACAGCCGTTCTTTCTCTCCTGAGGTTGCGTCGCCGGCCCGGTGAAGTCCGGCGTGACGCGCGGCGCCCCAGACGATTTCGTTCCCGATGTGGGTCAGGGCCACGGCTGGCCGCACCTGTAATGAGGCTGTTAAACGTGCCTGAGTTTTTCACGAGGAAGCTACAGCGTCGGCTGAGAGTGAGAACGGATCACTTCTCAGGCAGACCAGACGTCCCCGAAGGCCCCCGTTTGAAGAGGGAAGTCAGGGTTGCAGATCAAGGTTTAAGGCTAAGCGCATCAGGTCTGACTCACCAGCCAGAAGTTGGGTGCGCAGGTGTTGGGCTCGGCGTGCCTGAGGCATGATGACTGCCTATGGCTGTCATCATGGTTACCGTGACTGCCATTTGCACTGGTGAGCGCAGTCACCAATGAGTGTCGCCAGGACATCAAATCACGGCGTCTTTTTCTTCGCACGATAGCAAAGAACTGATCTCTTAAATGTTTCCCCTAAATGTTCTACAAAATGCACGTTAGGAAAGTAAGACAACGGTGGCCTAACAGTAGCCACAGTTGTGTGTGGTGCATACTCTCGATGGTGGTTGGCTGCATTCTGGAACAGGAGAAACGAAGCATCTTTGCTCACTAAAGCCGCGTAGGAAACGTGCTGCGGTTGTCTTATCAGGCGCTTGATCATATCGCCACAACACAGCACATGGGAACCAAAAATGGGGCCCTCGGGCCAAAGAAAAGCAACCCAAGACCAACGTGAAACCATGCATTTTATTGGCTGCAATGCACGGGCAACGTCGACGTCACAGGAAACGCCAAGTTAATTCACGCTTTGTGCAAAATCAACAGTGGAAAGACGGGACTGGTCCAGTCATTTCCGGTGTCCTCACGGGTACCGCCCACATCTGCCCTTCGCCTGACTGGTATGCCAGGTGTGTGCTCCTGCCAGATGCAACCTTCATCTTCTGATATATTCGGTGTTTATCCAGCGTCAGGTTACGCGTTTTGGAGCCCGTCCAATGGCGTCCTGCTGAGATTTTGCCTTGTATGTCTCGTCTGTTACCAAGGCGTGCTGCCATTTTTTGTTGTCTTTCAGGAGGTCTCACAAGGGCCATGTTTGTATAGATGTAGTGGTATGCAGCATTCGTGGAGTTGTGAAGAATGTTCTGCGTTAATGTTTTCCCTCCTGCGTAACGCTATCCACCGTAAAATGATAGATACAAAACATTGGTAGGTAAATTTTCTCACATAAAAATTTTAAACTTGTTAAAATATTTATGAATATTTACCTTCAGAAGCTCTGCTAAAATTGGCATCCGCGGTAGCTCTGTCAAAACTGGCACCCGATCGCAGGTGGCGAAGAGGCCCCAGGCCTTAGTGCCAGTGGCGGTGTTCGGGTTACCCCACAGGATGCTCGCTCCTGCTGTTACGTCACGCTCATCAGTTACCTCCCCCATTACATCACCGCGACACGGACTGGACCTTCTCCGCCTGCGAGCCGGCCATGTCGTGCCGCCGCCGTCGGCTGGTCGGCGGTCGGCCGCCACGCCGGCGCCCGTCTCGGCCGGCACGTTGCAGTCTCCGCTCTCCCGTTACAGAGGCAGCAATCTGGGCCGCCGACGGCCGCTCCCTCGCCGCCCGAAATAGGTCCGGGCGCCGGCGGCTGGCCAGCGGCCATGTCCCGGCGCCGCCGCCGGCCGCGGCACCCCGTCTTGGAACACCTGCGCGCGCCGGCTGACCCCCCTAAAGTGACAGCAGTTTGGACTGCGCCCGGTGACTCGAGCCAAAATCATGACGCCGTTATTTTGCTATCTTTTGGAAAGCGACTGGCCACTCCATGTTAATGTGATATCAAAAGGGTAGGTTTTCACGGGCTACGAGAATATCTGACAGACATTCCATGAGGTGGGATCAGTTTCCTGCTCATAATTTCTATACCTGTTGAATCCTGGCGCGAGTTACCCATATGGTCATCCAAGCTGAACGGAAGACTTCAGCTGTTTGTTGATTTGCTTCGCTGTTGCAGTATCCATGGGCTCAGGGGAAGCGAGATACGGTTCGGCATCATTAATGCAATTCTTTGGTCACTTGCAGTTAAATATCTTAAGGCAAGTCATGTAAATACTTACGTTATCAACGTTTCAAATTTTTGTCTGGGGAATATATGCAATGGTTTGGAGGGGGGCCTGGGCACGCCCCTTAGACATAGCTGGTAGTCGAGTTTCGTTTTGCTCCTTACAAGGCGTCTGGGCGGACCTCGCGAGACTAGGTCCGTGGCTGCGCTCTGCCCTCGTCGCTTCGCCGAAAGCTAGTCCACATCCCCGTGCTATGCCTATCGGACCCGCCGAAGCCCCACAGCTGCAGGGCTCATCCGGTCAGAGCGGCGCCGGCGCCGGCGCCGCGTGACGCGCGTGACGCCACATCCCGGCGCCGGCGGGGCTGTCGGGGGGGGCAGCGCGTGACTGCCAGGCGGCTCTCTGTCGTGCGGGGTGCCCGTTTCCCGGCCGCCCCAGGCCGATGCAGTGCCAGCTCCACCGGGCGACAGCAGCGGCCGGCCGGCCGGGCGACCTTCGGCCGGCGCTCTGACCATATTTGGCTCGCGCGCGCCGCTCGCTGGGCCGACCTTGCCGAGCCGACCGCTGCCTGACCGGCCGGTCAGCCGGGCTGCTGCCGAGAAAAGCCGCCGCCGGCAGCCACGCCGACTCCCTCTGAGTCAGCCGGCGGAGGCGCGAGTCATCCGACCGGGGCCGCCGGGGCGCCGCCGGCCGCTCCGGTGCGCAGAGACCGGGAGCGGGGCGGGGCACCGCTGCGGGGCGAGCGGCGGCACTGCGGCCGGCCCAGATGTCCCAGTTGTCTGGACTTGTGTCCCTTGGGTACCGATACTTCGAAAGATCACCGATGCAGGCAAAGTGCATTGCCCTGCCATATTGGCCAGCCCGTGGTGTGCTCCCTCCGAGCACACCCGCGCCAAAGTTCGTCATGGCTGACCATACAAACAAACCTTCCGTTCAAATGATTTGTACCCCAAAAGCGAAATATGACATCAAGTGGGCCTGTGCAGGTCGCCAGGTCCCCCGCCGGCCTCGATGACCCCATTCGTGCTGGGCCGTGCGTGACGCGGCCGGTGGGCAGCCATCGCCGGCCGGATGTGGGTGCAGTGACGAGCGAGCGGGCCTTTATTTCGGCGCGCGGACGGCCGACGCGCCGCACGCATAATGCGACGCCGCCGTGGCGGCTGCGCGCCGATTAGGGTGACACGCGCGACCCGTGTTTGGGCGGGGTCGGTCGGCTGCCACGGGACGGGGCGTGGCTGGGTGGGCTGTTGTCCGCTGGCAGGGGGGCAGGCGGCGAGGCGCAGCAGTGGGGTGGGCGGGGAGGCAGGCACAGGGGCCGGTATGGGGCAGGCATGGGGCGGGCAGGGAGGCTGGGCGGGAGGCACAGCAGAGAGGCAGACAGAGAGGTTCTGGTGAGGGGTGCGCCTCTTTGTTGACATGCAGGGATCTATAGCGGCGTTGGACTATGAAGCCAAATAAATAAAGCACACGGGGCACAGATGACTGATGATGGATGAAAGCTAGCGGGCTGCATTCATACGGTAACTCTTCTGACAGCCTCTCGTCTATCACACTGGCCTGTCATGATATTCTTTATGCCCAGGTCTTAAAATGGGAAAATGTCGTTGGTATGGTTCAGTCAGTAATTACGCTGTTTTCGGTCTGATTTCACATGTTGGGCCATCTAGACACAACCGGTGATGTTGCAACCAGCTTGAGTGTTGCATGAACGTTTGAAGCATTTGGCCACTCTCACCAATGACTCACGATCGATCCAGGTGTGGTATCGAAATGTGTGAAGGCATTTACATTACGCCTCTAACTACATCTTTATGCTCTTGGCAGGGTTTTCAGCGGAGGTAGCATCCCACAAAGTCGGTCAAAATGGAGGCCATCAAGAAGAAGATGCAGGCGATGAAGCTGGAGAAGGACAACGCGATGGATCGCGCTGACCTTCTGGAACAGCAGGCCAAGGATGCTAACCTCCGCGCCGAGAGGGTAGGTCACGCTATGTTGGGGGGGGGGGAGGAGGCCATCACACCTGGGACCAAAATTGCCTGAGCGTAATGTGCAGCCAGACAACATGACGGGCTACGAAAGCCCAATGCAGTTAATGCCATGTCCAATGGACGGTTGTTTACAAAGTGTTTCATTTTAGCGCCGTGTAATAGTGAAATCTGGTCTGAGGTTGTAAAATGGTCAGGACCTTTGGCTTGTTTGAGTCGCAACAGCTGTCTCTATGGGGTGGAATGCTCGAAGACGTTCTCTTCAAAATGATTGTAATTTGCCATAAACAATTAAGAACATTTTGGTACCATAGATATAATATATTTATATATATAAAATATATGATCTTATATTTTGGTCTCATCCCAAAACTCACCCAACGTGCATATTCTGCACGGTGACTGAAGCAACTCTTGGCTTTGAGCATTCCACCTCTCATATGATTCAATTTCTTCAAAACGTAATCTTTCAGTAGACCTATGCAGTCGCGTAATGAGCTTACGCACCGTCAGACTGTACCATGTAGACGCAGATAAATCGAGCTTTTGGGCTAGGCCTAGGCGTATCACCGAAAAATATTGATGTCCTTATTCTTGATGCTATTAGCAGGGTTTTTGTACACTCCAGAATAAGCGTCCATATTTGTTAATCGTCCTGCCTTTTCTACAGCATAGTGCATGTTTATTTTTAGTTCTAAGCACTGAGTGCTTGCTCAAAGTGTTTTTTTCATAACGTGCGAAATCTCACGCAGTTGAAGAGTGGAAATTCATTAGTAATGGGAATTCATCGCTCTTGTCATCTTGACAGCGTAAATTGCTATATTGGACACTAACGTTAATGTTTACTGTGATGTATATGGCTTGATACCATGGTTCAAACGTGATGTAGACGTTTTCAGGAACAAGTAGGTTGCATGGTTTTTGTGCTTAACTACTGCGTGTTGAGTGACCGGGTGAAGTGGACGTATTGAAAAATTATCAAAGTATGTATGGGGAAGCTTTATCTTACCACAAACACACAAATTCTTTGGCGTCCACTTCATTCGCGCTTGTATATGTGTGCCCACTTTTCATCTATCCCATGAATTAAATTATGTGTACTTATTAACTAATGCCCCCCTTCTTCAGCATTCTTGACCAGATTCGCGCTTCTGTTTCATCGCTAAAACATTTTGCAAACGTCCAGCCTTGACGACCGCCACGCTGATCCCCTTTTCACTTAAAAAAACTTCTTTTGATTGAAACCACGTGCCGCACGTCCCCATTCTTTCCTGTCTAATTTTTGTTTCGCCTTTTGGCCCACTTCCGGTCGGCTTTGGTGTGCTGACCCCGGCGTCACCCTGGCGTGCGTGTGCGGCACTTCTAACGCGTGCTCCGTCACTAACCGTCACTGTCAGGCGGAGGACGAGCTGCGCGGTATCCAGCGCAAGCTCGGCACTCTGGAGAACGACTTTGACATGGCGCAGGAGGCGCTGCAGGCCGCCCAGGCCAGCCTCGAGGAGAAGGACAAGGCGCTGACCGCCGTGAGTACACCCTCCACAGGGTAGCGTCGCGTAGCTAGGCTAATCTGTAGCCGTATGCGCCCTGTAGACCGAGGAGGAGCTTAGGGCCCTCCAGAAGAAGCTGCAGCAGACCGACAACGAGCTGGACACGGCGCAGGAGTCGCTCACCAATGCCAACCACAAGCTGGAGGAGAAGGACAAGGCGCTGGCGACGGTGAGCCGGCGGGACGCGCCGTCCTCAGGGGACGTCCGCCCAGTCTGCGCATGCGCCAATAACGCTTCTTCTTCGTCCTTGACTTGTGCCCGGAAAGGCGGAGGATGAGCTGCGAAGTATCCAGAGAAAGATGCAGACGCTGGAGAACGACTTTGACGAAACCAGCGAGAAACTGCTGAGCGCTAATAATGAGCTCGTCGAAAAAGATAAGGCGTTGACGAATGTGAGTTAGTAGGCGGCCCGTCATAGGTCAGTGTCACCTTCACGGCCGGCTGAGCCGAACTGGTGGCACCGAAGGAGCCTGCTCTGAGCTGGAATGGTGTTATATTAGTTCCGATTTACTCCGCTGTAGCTCTGCATTGTAAAGCTGAGTGCAGGATCAGGTGACCCCGTTGACAGAGCTGTAGCTGCGGACCCCATATGATCATGTAGTCGCAGCGCCCAAAACCCCAAATACATGAAGCGATACCTGTAGCTGTCACTGCAGTTAGTACAAGAAAGTAGGGTTAGTGGCGCAAGATGGTTTGGCTTGGTGAAGACCTTGAGAAACCATAGCGAGATGCCAGTTGCCTATCGCTTCGTGTTTCAAGGTTTCGAACTGGTGGTAGCTAGTTTTGGACTTCCAATGAGCGCATGGGTTTTATGCCACCCAAATGAAACTTTTGTGATACAAGCTATTCATGGGTTGTGTTAAGGTACACGGAAACATCGGCTACTGTAACCCCCTTTCAGGCAGCCCTCTGTCTTCAGTGACCTAATATTGTAGAGTATTTTTTACTAACAGTGTTTTTACTTTGTCGCGGCAAATGCTTACCAACTGACTTTGTGCATATTTTGTATTACTGTTTTGCCGTCTTCCTGTGCCATTTATGTCATGCAATCTGTGAATCCATGCATTCTAGGGGTTCACTGTATTCATATTTGCGGTTTAAAAGGGAATGTGGCCCCACTAAAACATGTGAACTCGAACACACAGAAAGTTGGAACAGCTTCTTCTGAGTTGCCCCAGAATTTGCGTTGTAATGATTCAGGGCAGTTTTGGCATCAGCTTCGCCCAGTGGAAGCCAGGTGTCACCTGCTGACGGTCTCAGTACGGGAATACATAGGCGTATGCCGTTACGGACAAAAACAAGAAGAAATGTGGCATTAATTAATGATCTGTTGGGACTAAAGATAGCTCTTTCTTCGAATGGATATCTTCTCAAGCAACTATGGAAAGCAAACTTAAAGACGTTTTTGTAAGACCTTATTCCCGTAACAAGGCATGATGCTGCATTGTGTGCCGTGTGGTCCCATTTTGTTCCGAGGGCCTTGGCTACCCATAAACCATGGTAGCCGTTTATTCATACGTTTGCTGCTTGTGCGACATGTGTAGAGTGCACGCCCTCACGTCATGAAGCGTGCTAGTGTCACCACGTGGTCAATGTGTACGAGGTCCATATGGTCAATGTCAGTGCTCGTCTCTCACGCCATCTGTACCCAGCGTGTGTCAGCTACGACATACAGCTTCCGTCGTGCCGCAGTGCGTTCAGAGCGTTTAAAATCCGCTCTGGTGATGTGGAGGGATCCATGTGCCAAGTCAGCGGTGGATGTCCATTGTCTCCACGCGTGATCGCGTGTCAGCTGGCGGGCCGTCATCCCCGCAGCTCTCCCCAGCTGGCGGCAGTCACCGTGCATCCACGGGCCGCAGGCCCCTTCTGTAGCCAGCCGGGGCCGGCAGTGTACTCACGATGCATCGCCCCCACTGAGCACGGACCTCATTCAATGTGACACTCGCGGGGCTTCGCCCTGTCTGCTCACGGCCCTTCGTGACCTGACCTGACCTGGCTTGGGTGAGGAGGGCAGTGGGGGCTGCAGAGCAGCCCGCATCAGTACCCGAGATCGCCTTGTGTGGCGTGGAGCCCCGTTCTGTCTCCTGAAGCCCCGCTCTGTCTCCCGGCCCCGGGCGGGGCTCCGTACCGCTCCGGCCGAATGACGAACTAGCATTCAGAAACGCGGTCAGCGCGCCTCGGGAGGAGCGACAACGGTGTAAAATAGAAGAATGCGCCATACGTAAGTGGTCACACAGTTAAGGCACCAAACGTGCTTGCATGGGCTGCTGCTCATGAGCAATCCGGGATATGCCTTCTAACTTTTTAAAGTCACAAAAAGTTGCTATAAGCGCATTCCACAAACTTGAGGGATAAGACAAACCTTTATCACACTTGCAGTAGATTGTTTGAAAAGCTAGTTCATAGGAACAACAGTGCGACGTTAGCGCAATGTTAAGCACCCTCACGAAACGAAAAAAAGACAGGGCAAACAAGGTTTCTTGAGCACGCAGGAAGCGCTACTCGCGCTGAAGTGGCGTGAAGTGTGGGTCATAGGTTGATGCAGGCCTTGCAGGCAGTTTCTGCGAACGTTTTGGCGCACAGCCGGTCAGGGGAGAGCTTGGAGGGGGAGGGACGGCAGCTGACGAGACTCCAGGAAAAGCGAAAATAATCAACAAACTCTACAAACGTGTGTCAAAGAGCGATGGCGGCAGCTCTCCGGGTGTCTGAAAGAGGGTGACGCTAGGCGAACCCGCCGGCCTGGCTGAGTCGACCCAGCCGCTGGCGGCGCCGGCGGCGCTCGCCGCAGCCCCCTGGCTCGCCGCCGGCGGCGGACAGAAATATCCACCGTCGGCGTGACGTCACGCTCCTCCTTTTAAAGTCATCGGCGGCCGTCGGCTCCGACGCGCATGCAGCGGGCAGAGCGAGCCGTGCCAAGACCGCGTGCTGTCGGCTGTGCGCGACTCGTGCCCGCCTGCGTGCCGACGCGCTCCGCCGCTGTGGAGAGTGATCTGGTGTGAACGTCATCTCGGCGCCGCGGACGGAGTGTATTTCTCGAGTTGCGAGCCTGTCTGCTTCGGGTTCGGCCTAGCGGCGCATGCGCTGTGGGTCGGGCTGTCTCCGGGGCCGGCAGCGTCGCGAGTTTTGCTCCTGCTCGCGTTGCAGTTACTGGTCGCGTTGAGGGAGGAGTTTAACGTAGCAAAGCTCTGGTTTGGAACTCTGACAAGAGATGGCGCTGCCATATGTTTACGTAATTGGGTGATGCTCTGACCATCAGCTGACTGCTTGTGCAACGCAATATGGAGGAGAGGGGAGGTGCTCGCTCCTCGCGCGACCGGACAAGGAACTTAGTGGCTAACGTGGACGGGATCAATGGGAACTTGACCCCCGCAAGCTCGACATCAAGTCTTAGTGAATTAGACAATGCAAATACGGACAGTGACAACAACGAGGTGCGGCAGCGTCGCAGGCCAACGAGTCGTAGTGGAACAGCAGGCGCCTCAAATGTGATGGACGATGAAAGTGATCAAGAAATACTCGAACTTTCAAAACTCCGGTGCAGTGGTGAGAGGACAGAAGTGGTGGCCGAAAGGCACAACAGGCGAAATCGATGTGCAGATTATCCAGGCCTCGCGTTTGGCTCTTCAATCTTTAGTTCGAACACCATGATGAAACTGAATGTTATTAAGAATGAGCTCCACAACATCATGACAGTTCAACTGAGGAGGGTAGGTACTTTTTCATCCAGGTCATGGGACCTGTCGTCCGTGTTCGTGTGAGGCCGACAGCAGGGATGTAGTTCCACAAAATTGGGAGGGCAGCTGGGTGGGGGAAAATGCTTAGACCTCCCAATCTCCATTATAGCAGCTGGTTTCTCCCTGCATCTGGCCCACTTTCTTCTCAAAGTGGCTAGAGCCCATTATTGTTAAGGGAACTGCATTCGTGGTCGACATTGTCCCAGGTACATGTTCACTGCCCACGTACCTGTACTCTCAATCGTCGGTTGTGACCCGTGTGGGCGTCGCGCTCATTGTCAAGGTCGTTGTCCATGTGCCACAGCTGAACCTTGGATCTGTCCTGCTGGGGCATTTAAAACAAACAGTACTCTGCCACTTTTCAGATGGCTTATGTGCACGACGTAGTCATACAGATAACCTTTCGTTTCACTTCAATATGTGTGCGGTGCCCGGAATTTCGGAATGTTGTCCCTTGGTTCACAAATCTCAGAGCGCAGTTGCTCTCAACCTGTCAGCCCATCCCTTCGTTACATCAAGCTGTTCGGGAGCTCGACTTGTAGCTTGAGAATGTCACGTAGCATGACTCGAAGTGAAAAATGTGCGTGATGGTCGCAAATTGCAGGAGTTCCGGCAGAGCTTTGTTGGGCGATTTTTCCCTTCTGTTGAAAACCACTGGTTGGCGCATGCATTCCTATTCCTGCTAAGATGGAACTCATCGTTTATGGTAGTGTTTTGCGCCTTATGGAGATCTGACCAAATTCAGCGACGTCATGTGGCTCACTTTTACCCCCTGAATGGTCAGATCTATCATGGAGTTTCGGGACCATATATGGAACTATACTTTGCCGCGGAGGCTTTTCGGCCGTCCAGTCACCGGTCGCCAGGCGTGCTGGGCGGAGGGCGGTGTCCAACTGGCGGTGGTGTGGTGTCGGAGATTGGGTGCGGCCTGTTTGGTGATAGCGTGTTTTGCCGAGGGAAAGGACGAAACGCGTTGCAAAAATGTCTGGTGGTCAAGGTGCTACTCTGCTGGAGGTTCTGAAGAAGAAAATGACCCAAACTAGGGATGAATTGGAGGCCAAACGTGACGAGTGCGACGAGCTCAACAAGCAGCTTGTTGATGAAACCCGGCGAAAGGAAGAAGTGGGTGATGTGTGACTGTTCTGGATGGACTTGCATTAGTCTGACCCATTTTTTAATGACTTGGTTCGTATGCTTGAGCTTGTGTATTCCATTGAAGTTTTTCAGTGAGTCAGAATCATATTTTTATGGCGAGGTATCACCAGCGCCATTGATTTTCTCCCGCGTACCTTGCAATGCTCGGCGTCTGCCGTAGTGCTTTTTATGTTCACGTTCGCAGTTTTGGAAGAAATTATTCTTGACTGTTTTACTGCATTCATGGCCATGATTGTAGGAGTTAAGGCTATGTACGAGCAGTGTCTCAAAAGCATCCATGACGCGCTAAAACATCCATTGAAGAAGCCCGCAGTGCTGGGTTAAGTATTTCGTTTAGCGCAAAAGATTGAAGAAGATTCGTGCTGCTAATTGGGCATCTCAGTGATTTTGGACAGTGGGTGATTGAAAGTGCGGAAATCCTGAAGTTCTCATCCCATTCATGGTCACTCGCGAAGCTTTTGAGCATATTTCGGATTTATCCTGTTTTTGTTCAACAGAACGCCACATCGGCAATTAAAATTTGATCACGAGTGGTGGCAGATGTCTCTCCCTTGCTCTCCTCAGTTCTCCGCCAATGAGTCAGCTGACCGCTCGATGCGGCTTAAATCCCGATCCTTCAAATATGCATCTGCTACGTCATCGGCATTGCATCCTACCGCCATCCACCATCCACATCGCAGTGGTTGCAATCTGCCGGAGTCATATCGTCAGATTAGGGCACCTTGTAAACTGATACAGGCCTGTGTGCACCCTGGCGCGGCCCGGTGGCCGCTGGTACACCATGCCAGCGGGTGCGGCCGGCCGCCGTCCATGGCCATATAAGGGCGGATCGGAGTCCCATTGTGGTATGCCGTTGTGACGCGGGGGCTGGAGGGATTGGTGAACTTGCGGTGCAGTCTTCATCGCGCGCGAAATCGGTGAGTCAGGGGTCAGCCTGAGCCGCCGCCCGGTCAGGCTACAGTCCCGGCGTCGGGGGAGGGGCGTGCCGGTCTGGCGGGGTGACCTGTTGCCGGGCGGGCGCCGCCGTACCCGGCCGGCGTTAGGCCTGAGCCGAGCATCGCTGCGGCCGGCGGGCGTCAGGCCTGAGCCGAGCGTAGCCCCGCGCCGCCGCCCAGACTTCCGAGCCGTCTCCCGAGCCTCCGAGCCGGCCCGCCCGACCCGCCGCACCGCCCACTCGGCGAAAGCCGACCCCATGCGTTCTGCTGACGGTCGCGGAGGGAGGGACGAAGTGTGCGGGCCGCCTCCGACAGTGGTTTCTCCCGCTGCCTTATTTGTGGCTACCGGGTGAGCGGCCCTTCAGCTGCTCTCTGACAAGCCGCCGGCGTGCCGGGTAGGGCACGGCTAGTTTCACATTTGAAGTCCTCGTCCGTCGGTTCGTGCTGTGGAAAGTCAACTGAGGCACGGACGCACAAGTCGGGAACTCATCCGGACCCTTGTGCGGCGGTGCGCCGCCTTCGGTCACCACCCGTCACGGCAGAGATCGGGATCTGCCGTGTTTTCGGAACAGTCGTGCCGCCGTGCGGACAGACCACCAGAAAAAAACGACGCGTCCGCCGGACCGTTAACGGTCTGCCGAATACATTACTGTCCTGGGATGGTGCGTGACAGAGGTGCCGCGCGCGTCACGTGACGTCACGCGGCCGGTGCCCACGTCCCCCGGCACACAGGGCGGCGCGTGGCGGCAGGCCCCGCCCGGCAGCGTGCGCATGTGTCGCGCGGCACCGACATGTGCCGTCCATCCGCCCCAGGCATGTGCCGCCGTGATGTGCGTGGTGTGATTGTCGATGGCGTGCTGCTGGTATGCCGTGCGGCGCTCGTTGGGCTGATCCCTGTGGTGTGCGGCTGCGTTGTCCGCCGTGTGGCGCTGTGCGTTACAGCATGCTGTGCGAGGTGCGGTCTGGAGGTGCGGCCCGCCGCCATGTTCGGGGTGCGGTCCTGCGCTTGGTCGCGCGTAGGTGGTGAGATGTTTGACTCGTCGGGTGCCGTCCGCTACGTTGCGGTATACATTTGGTTTGTCCGTGTGCTCTGTTGGCAACGTCCTGACGCTCTGTGTATTGGGGACCAGTGCCGGCCCTGGCACTGGACGGTGCGAAGCGCTCGTGACGGGTGCTGTCTGACGGCGGGCCCGCGTGGCCGGCTGTGCCGCAGGCTGAGGGCGAGGTCTCGGCTCTGGGACGCCGCATCCAGCTGCTGGAGGAGGACCTGGAGCGCTCCGAGGAGCGGCTGGCCACCGCCACCACCAAGCTGGCTGAGGCGTCCCACTCCGCCGACGAGTCCGAGCGGTACGTGCGACCCTCCAGCACAGCACAGCACAGCACAGCACAGCACAGCACAGCGCAGCGCAGCGCAGCACAGCACAGCACAGCACAGCACAGCACAGCACAGCACAGTACAGCACAGCACAGCACAGTACAGTACAGTACAGTACAGTACTGCACAACACAGAACAGTACAGCACACAGTACAGCACAGCTCAGCTTAGTGCAGCGTGGCCGAGCGTCGGCCGCTGACGTTGATATAACAGTGCAACAACGTTCGGAGATAATAGTTGGGTCAAACTATGGGAGGCCCACGACGGGGTCGGACGGTGTTGCGAGTCGACCTCCGGTCGGACGGCCCTGTCCACCGACAGCCCGGGCACTGTATACACAGCGCCGCCTTTGTGATGTGTGTGCATGCCTTGCGAGTGTGTCAGCGTCCGCTCTCTGAGCGGGCCCGAGCGGGGCGGCCGGCCAGTGCCGCAGGTATGTCGCCTCTGCACTCTGGCCGAGCCGCGCGCCAGCGGTGTGCTCTGGACCGAGCCGTCATAACCAGAACCTGCGTCGCACCCTAGGTGATAACAATTAGATTGTCCTCAAGTCGAGCATTATTCCAGGCTGCGTTATGTGGCATGCTTTGTTTTTGTGCGTGTTTCTGTGTTGTTTTTGCGTACTCCGCAAATTTTGCGATTTGTAACGCTATGAATATTAATAGCCCACTTCCATGTGAATCCAGGGAGCCTCTCCCGGACCTCCAATTGACCATGTTGCTGGCGGTGCATGTATGCGTGGTCGCCCGTTTCCCTTTAGTTTTCACCCGAGGTCAGCTGCCGCCGCGTGCCGTGAACTAACCGGCGTGAACACGTGCCCGCACGCAGCGAGCGCAAGGCGCTGGAGAACCGGAACCAACACGGAGGAGGACCGCGTCTCCATCCTGGAGGCGCAGCTGGCGCAGGCCAAGCTGATCGCCGAGGAGGCGGACAAGAAATACGAGGAGGTAGGGCGGCCGCTGTGCTGGGGAGGAGCGGGCGCGCGCGCGACTGTGCGGCCTCGCCGGGGTCCGGCTGCCGCTGGCTGGTGACCGCCGCCGATGGCGCCGGCCGGGTCCCGGCGGGGTGAGCTGGCCGCCGCCGCCGGCTGCTGGGAAGGGACGCGGGTCGGGACATGCTGTCTGACGCGCCGCCGTCCGTGACAGCATGCGCAAGGTGCTGGAGAACCGCAGCCTCTCGGATGAGGAGCGCATGGACGCTCTGGAGAACCAGCTGAAGGAGGCCCGCTTCCTGGCTGAGGAGGCCGACCGGAAGTACGACGAGGTGACCGCGCGTGACCCGCCCTCCGTGTGGCTAACGGCCGGTGGTGTGACGCGCGGGTCCACACTAACCGCACGCCCGCCCCCAGGAGTGTGGACTCTCGACAGGCGGGAGCGACAGGCGGCTGCTGTAGGGGGTCCGTCCGGTCCTGACGGCAGTGTAGCTGGTCCCCGCGACTTGTTCACAGGAATGCTGGTCGCTCCCGAGAACTGCGGCTGCATGGTCAGCGATGGTGGCATGCGAGAAGTGTGTGGTTTGATGTCGAATGCACATGATACAGTCACGCAGGCACACACTAGGTTTGTTGTGCGTCGGTCCTCTTAAGTTGCCTTCTACACACACTTGGAACGATCATCACGCTCAAACCATCTTGGTAAATCCGTTAACATGCTCTTTCGTCGTAGAGTCTGTGCCACTACTATGGGAAGCTTAAGACGTTCTCTGTGTAAACAGGGACACTTATTGATTTTATCAATTCCACATGAGGTATAAAAAGAATGTCAAAAAGATTACGAAATACGGCGTCGCCGCTCTTTGACTGGAGCCGGCTCTGAGGCCAGTCTGGGTGCGTCGCTGCGCCAGCCAGTGCTCTGATCGCCGTCAGCACACCACTGACCGGGCCGGGCCCGCTGCTGTCGCCAGGTGGCCCGTAAGCTGGCCATGGTGGAGGCCGACCTGGAGCGTGCCGAGGAGCGCGCCGAGACGGGCGAATCGTGAGTGGCGTGCCGTGTGTTGTGTGTCAGCCCGCCCCGCCCCAAGCACGACCCTCCACAGGCGCTCCCGCATGGCCGTGCCGCCGTCGCCCGGCGTTTGGGCATGCGCAGCCGTGGTGTGCGTGTGTGCTGCCGCCGGCGTGTGGCGTGGTTTTCGACTGGGTCCGGTGGCCCACCGGCCGGCATGCGCCTGATGGGCCCGTGTGTGCCTGGCTCGTTGACAGGTGGCGCGCAAGGTGGTCATGCTGGAGAATGACCTGGAGCGGGCCGAGGAGCGGGCCGAGACAGGCGAGAGGTGAGCAACGCCCCTGGGTCCGTCCTCCCCTCCCCCTGCCCCCTACGCGCACACACATCAGCCCAGCAGTGAACATGAAGTCACAGACGGGACGGAGTAGTTAACTTGGCACCGCTCTGTTGTGCTCCGGGGAGCCAAGCCCAGCAGCGGCCACAGCGGTAGGCGAGACGGGAGCGACATCTGGGATGCACTGGTCTCCCCCCCCCCGAGCCCCACCTGCCCCTACGCGCGTCAGCCCACCAGCGGCTCGAGATATCCGTACTTCAATGTGACACAGCTATTCGTCCCGGGTTGCCTCCATCACATGCCCAACATCAACGGTCAGGGATGTCGACGCCCTCGCGAACCCAGACCGGAGACCCCTGGCTGAGCCGCCGGTCCGTCCCACCGCCGGGCGTGGCGGGACCGACAGGGTGCCAGTGCCCTTCGTTCACTACACCCACTGTCTGGTTGAGTGGAGGGAGGCGAGGCGTGAGTATTCCTTCACTCGTGCTGGCACCACACTTTGCTGTGGTTCGGCCTTTGGTGTGCTGTGAATGTGCCTTGGTCTGATGCTCTCTGCGCTGTTCTCGGTCTGCACTGGAGCCCCGTCTCCCGCTGCATACGTTTGGCTTGAACAGCAGCTACATGACGCGGCTGTCATTTCCGTCTCTCAAGCGGTGCTGCGTTGATTGAGATGCATGGCGCCTCGCTGGCTGTTTTACATAGGCGGAGAAGAGTGTTGGTTGTTGCCCGGTGAGGCATTAATCCGTCGCCAGAGCAGCGCGGGCTTCGAGGCATGGCTCGACGGTGCGGTGTGGCGTGGCGCGTGGGCCGACTGTTGCCACGCACTGACGCCGTGCCTCTGGTCCGTCCCGCAGCAAGATCGTGGAGCTGGAGGAGGAGCTGCGCGTGGTGGGCAACAACCTGAAGTCGCTCGAGGTCTCCGAGGAGAAGGTAATGCTGTCGTCGCGCGTGGACCGCCGCCGTCGAAGGGCACCTTTGTGTCGGTCATCGACTCGTTGAGTTGCAGGGATGCCCTCCCGGTAGACACCTTTCTGGCTTTCGATGATTCGTGTTTGGTGGGTGTAAAGCTGTGAAACTCAAGACATTGTGTTCATGGGTTTTCTACACCGGGTTTGGACCGAGCATACTTGTATTACTTTCCTTCTCGTGATTGGCCCCGGACCTTCTGTTTAGTCATACGTTTATGCAGCTGATTGCGTGCACCATAGCTGCATCAGTGGGACGCTGATGCGGTGAGGTCAGTTGCTCCTTGACCCAGCATTGGTCGCAGTCTGTTGCGATTGGCAGACAGTGGGCGGACAAAGGCCTCGCTGATTGACCCCGTTCCGTGACCTAGTGAACCTCGTCTGTACGGTATGTGTGATTGTTTCGGTCATTGTTCGACGGCGATGGCGCGGGTATTGGTATGCTGCAGCAGCGAATACCCGCTCGTCACCCTTACCCCTCTCACCGCGCGTCCGGCAGCCTGACCCGTGGTGGACATACAGCCTGTTTTTAGGGGCGGAGGGGTGCGGGTCTTTCCCCTATCTCATTGGGGCGTGGCTGGAGTCAAGCTGGGCTGTAATGTGGGCGGTAGCCGCTCCCTGGTGGAGAGTCGCCACCATCGGCGGGCGGCGAGACAGCCGGGGTGCGGACGCTGACCTGCGAGCAGCGGGGTCGGCCGAGCGCCAGCCGCTTTCTCCCGACCCTGGGACGCCGCGCCGGGAGGCTTTCTCTCCGGCCTGGGACGGGCGCGGAGACACTGGGTCAGGGCCACCCTGGCGCCGCTCGCGCCTCGTCCCGGCCGCTCCCCAGCGGACCCGGCGCCACTAAAACGCCGCCGGCTTGTCCTGTAGGCCAACCAGCGTGAGGAGGCGTATAAGGAACAGATCAAACAGCTCACGAACAGAATGAAGCAGGTAACCGGGCCCACCGAGCATGTGCCGGCCGTCCGGCGTCCACGAGCATGGGGTGCCCCTGGCTGGCGTGACGTGTCGACAGGCGACGGCCGTGGACGACGCTCGCCGGCACTCTTCTCTCTAGCTGTCGACCCCTCCCGAGCCCGGCCCGCGCCCACCCCGCCCCGCCCCGACCGCGCGGCCTCCGCGGCCCCACTAACCAGGACGGGCACGGTGCCTTGCCCCGCCCTGCCCTGGCCTGGCCTGGCCTAGTCTGCCCTGCCCTGCCCTGCCCTGCCCTGCCCTGGCCTGGCCTGGCCCTCTCCGGCTCGACCCTTCGCTGTGCGTGCCGTGACGTGACCTCCGTTCTCTCTGCGCTGCCCGCCGGCTCTAGGCCAAAGAGCGCGAGGAAGAGTACGAACGCCAGCTGACAATGTTCACTCAGCGCCTGAAGCAGGTACTGCCCCCTCTCGCCGCCGTGTGCTAACGGTGTGCCGTGGTCTGACTAACTGTCGACGGCATGGGGGGGAGGGCGTGCCGTGCGCTCGTGCCACTCACGCCGTCGTGTTCCTCTAGGCCTCGCAGCGTGAGGACATGTTCCAGAAGCTTCAGCACGACAGCGAGATTCGGTGGAAGGAGGTGAGCCTCCGCCGCCGCCGCCTCCGCCGCCTCCGCCGCCGGCGCCGTGCCAGCGCCGCTCGGGGCGTGGATAGCCGCGCCGCCTGCTCCGAACGGGGGCCGCATGCCAACGTTCCTAAAGCGGCGGATGCTTTCTCTGGCGAGCCGCCGGCTGTATTCTGGCCAGATCGGGGGCAAAATCGGTATGCGCCGTGTTCGTTTACAGCACGGGTCGTTAATGCCTCAGTAAAACTGGCTAAAAGCAGTGGCCCCAATCGGCCCTCATGCAGCAAACTGCTGTCGGCGCATATCTCCTTCCTCGTTGTGTCGGGGTGGGCTCAGATTTTTTCCCCTTGCGCTCCTGCCTTCTGCTTCTTTCCTGGCGTCTGGTGTGGCCCGGAGTTACTTGCGCGATTTCATGGCTTCTGAAAAGCTCTTGAGCTGCAGGCCGTGGCTTGTTAACGTGCTGTACGATACTGCGGTAAGTGCACTACCACGTAAACGGACCGCTTCACCTGCGCCGCGATAAGCTCAACTCATCGGCCATAATACGTGTTAACTCCAACTGTGTCGCTTGTGGCCGCCTTTCGTGCCTCACGAGGCTAATACCGAGTGGCTTCGTCTGCGGACGTGCCCGGAGGGCGCCGGGTGGTGCGCCGCCCGTGCGGCACACGCCGCTGGTCCGGCACGGTGATCGGTGTCGAGCGAGGCGCTCAAGCCCGTCGCCTAGTTAATGCGCGTCAGACGATTCAGTGCGGCGCGTGTAGCTTCCGACGCTAACGCGGTCGACTTGAGTGCAGTCAGAAGCGTGTGCTGATGGGCTGATGTGTGGCTGTCGGCGCGGCGGCCGGCCCGGCTTCCGTCGGCCGGTCGGCGGTGCGTGGCCGGCCGGCCGCCGTGCTGTGACCGACGCCATGCCGTCCGCTGACGCCCGCTGCCCGGCAGGCTGAGGCCCGCGCCGAGTTCGCCGAACGGTCGGGTCCAGAAGCTGCAGAAGGAGGTCGACAGACTGGAAGGTGCGTGGGACGGCCGCTGCCGCGCTGCTGCTGCTGCCGGGCACGGGGGTCGGGGTGGGCCTGGGGGACTGTGGGCTGATCGGACCGGCTGTGTCTGTCACACGGTGACAGCCGTCTGGTGGGGGTCGGTGGTGGGCCCAACAGGCTCCGCTCCGTGTTCATTCCTGGTCCGGTACGTATGGTCGCCATGGGCAGGCTCCTGGGTATGTCTGTTTGTGTTGTGGTACGGGTTCACCGACGGGGACCCAACTGGACACCCCGGATTTGTCATGGATTAGATTCATCTGGAGTCCCTGCCGTAGATGTTGGAGTCCCTCCCTTAGACGTTGGATTCGGGACTAAGGCTGAAAAGTTCCCACCATGCTGAAGCGGGCTGGGTCCGGTTCCCTTACCAACGACCATTTGTGTGTTACAAGCAGCTCATTCGGATAAACTCCGCGCGGCCACCAGTGCCTACTAGCCAGGTAATAACGCTCATGTTATTCGTTAACACGCAAACACGCGGTACCCAGACTTGTACCGTACAGCATCCTCCGAATCCCGGGGCAACCGTCATTCCTCTGGCCTCTGACCACCTACCGGGGCTGTGGACCGCGTGACGCCTCGCTCGATGGCATGTCTGCGTTTTCTACGTTTTTGGCATGGAATGACTAGACAGAAGAGTTGCTAGTGAATGCCAACCGCGCCCCAGTTTGCACTACCATTGACCAGTTCGTGCTCGTCGTTTTTGCCTGCATGGTTTGGCTGCGAGTGTGTTGTTTTGGCCGTCGGGCCGCGTGCCGTTTTGTTTCGTTTGCCGCCTACCGGTGCGCGCCGCCTGGGTGTGCCCCGCTTCTGACCGCGACCGGGCACGTGCAGACCAGCTGCTCGAGTCGCGCCAGCAGCAGAAACAGCTGGAGGACGAGATGGACACTACCCTGAAGGACATCCAGAACCTGTGAACACCGTCCAGTGCATGTGTGACCGGCGAAGGCGGGCCAGGTGAGCCGCGGGCGGTGCGGGACGGAGCGGTGGCCGTTCCCCGTGTGGCGAGGCATCTCCGCCAGGTCGCACGGCCGCTCAGGAACGGTCGCCGGGCGGGACGTGACGCGCCGGGCCATGGTGTGCGGTGTGGAGCTCAGGTTTGGATGAGGCGTAAGTCAGTCAGCCGGAAGAAGGGCCGATGCAGCCGACTGTAGGCCGTCCAGTGCAGGTATTGTGACTGATTTGCGTTCTGTTGTTTTTGTTTGTTTTGTTTTTTAGATGCATGTCACAGTACGACTGCCAAGCTGCAAACGTAGGGCCGATTCCTTCCTCACCAATCTTCTCCCATACACAGACACTTAAGTGCGGGTTCGGTGGACGGACGCCGGAGCTGGCCGGAGCTGGGAAGAATGAAGTGTACTTTGTACTAAATGTACTTACTAAATACAACTTGTCTCACATCAGCCAGTTAACGTGGTCCTGGTATAATGACGTGATGAAGAACCCTTGTGTTGAAATCGCTGGGCTATGTTGTATGTGGGGTCTCCTCTGCTTTGCTAACGATGACGGCTTCTCTGCAACGGACGATAACAATGACCATAACAACAAATAACTATCACGCTTCATCTGTGCGCGTTTCTGCTGCAATAACGTCTCTGAAATAACTCCCGGCTGCCTGTTAACCGAGCCGTGCTGGCCACTGGAGCTGTTGTAACACCGCCGCCTTAATACCGAAGGGCTGGCTGCTGGCTTTGTCTCGGGTGCATGCCAGGTGACTGAGGGCTGCTCGGGCTGACCGCGGGCCTGCCTTGCAGACGACCTGGTGCACGAGAAGGAGAAGTTCAAGTCCGTCTCGGACGAGCTGGACACGACCTTCTCCGAGATGTCGGCCTACTAAACCGCGTCGCTTGCCATCCGTCCGCGGCTCGCCTGCTGCACTCTGCCTCTCCCTCGCTCTCTCTGTCTATCTGTCTGTCCGTCTTCTCCTCCGTCTGCCGGTCTGTGTGTCCGGCTGTGGGCCCTGCTCGGCGCTGGCCGGGCCGGGCCCGCTGTCCGGGCGCCGGCCCCGCCCGGCCGTGCGGCGGCGGTGAGGACGCGCCCGTAGGTGGCGCCCGTGTGGGGGCGGCCCCGGCCGCGGCCGCTGTCTCCGCTGACCGCTGCCGTGTGCCCGCGCCGCCCGCAGACGAGCTGGTCAACGAGAAGGAGAAGTACAAGGGCATCGCCGACGAGATGGGACACCGCCTTCGCCGAGCTGTCCGGCTACTAGAGCGCGCCGCGCGCCGCCGCCGGCGCCGAGCGCGGCCGGCGGGCACGGCCCGGGGTCGGGGCACGCGCCGGCCGCGGGCGGGAGCGGGCGGCGCCGGCGCGGGCGGGCGCCCCGCCCCGCTCACACTGACTGATGATGCTGACCCGGCCCGCCCGCCGCCCGCCGTCCGCCCGCCCTGCCGGCCGCCGGCCGCGGACCCCGCCCCCGCGCCTCCCCCTCCCTCCCTCCGGCGCAGCTACCGGCAGCAGTCACACCCTGTGAGCACCAGCGCCGCCGGCCCTTCACTCTTCTGTACGCCGCATGCCCTTTCTGGCAGGTTTTGCTATGTATTTGTTAGGTTGCCCGGAGCAGATGATATATTATTATGTATGGGTTCGAGTGGTGCTGAGGAGCGAGATGTACGTCGCATTTCGGCTAGAACGCGTCGAAGGAAACGGAAGTGAAGCACACTGCAGACTGTACACAGCTGTATGACGTGACAAAAGAATCTAACAATTTTAAGCCTGACGTGCTTTTATTATTCGGAGTGACCAAGCCGAGAAGCGTGAGGGCGTGAGAACTTGGTAAACGTCAGCGGGCTCGAAATTAGGCCGCTGCCCATCCATCAGGGATCGCCGAATCGAAGTCGAAGGTTTTCGTGCGGTACGAGCTGATGAGAAGCGGCGCCCTGATATCAGCGAGGTGGCAACTGGGTCGGTCGGGCTAAGATCGGCAGCTGACTACCGGCAGCTGCCGGCCGTCAGGCGTCTGTCGACCGCTACCACTGACAACTGCCAGCTGCCAGGCGTCGGTCGACCGCTGACTATTGGCAGCTGCCAGATGTCGGACGACCGCTGGACCACTGACTATTGGCAGCTGCCAGGCGTCGGTCGACCGCTGACTATTGGCAGCTGCCAGATGTCGGACGACCGCTGACCACTGACTATTGGCAGCTGCCAGGCGTCGGTCGACCGCTGACTATTGGCAGCTGCCAGATGTCGGACGACCGCTGACCACTGACAGCTGCCAGCTGCCAGGCGTCAGGCGCCGGTGGCCCAGCGTCCTGTTACAAGGCACGCGCGAGAACGGAATGTAACTATTGCGGTTTCTGATGTGCTGCCAGGACACGATGGCTAGGTACACATATTCTTGTCTGTGATGCGGTGTCTCTACCCGTGGTGGGGATAGCCATCAATAACATCAAATGAGGTCGGTTTTATGGAAGCGGGGAGCGCGCTGCATTCACATCTGGCGTAGGTTAAAGCTCGACGCGTAAATCTAGCACCGATTCGCGAATGTCATCACCGCGACCTCCGACGTATGCATTCCGGAAGAAACAACTCTTAATCATTACAGCGTCTAGAAAGTCAAAGGTCCCTTTCGAAGATCATTACAACCCGCGCAATGCTTCTCTCGATGTCGTGTGGGCGCCTGAGCAATTCATCTCGGAAAAACGAGAGCCGCGTCGCATTAAGACCGAGAATACACTGAACAGGGAATAGGGATGCTTGCAACCAAGGCGGACCCATAGGTGCACAAAACGCTCGCGAAATGTCCCGCTCCCCGCGCGCCCCCAAAAAAGTGCGTTTCAAGCATTTTATTGAGCTCAAGCCGTGCGTGTACTATCAGAACATAGGCTTTCAGCCTTTGCGCAGCCGACACCAGCAGAGACTGCGAGGGAGGCTGCACAGCGACACCGGCAGAGGCTGCGGGGAGGTTACACCGCGACACCGGCAGAGGCTGCGGGGGAGGTTACACCACGACACCGGCAGAGGCTGCGGGGGAGGTTACACCGCGGCACCGGCGGAGGCTGCGGGGGAGGTTACACCGCGGCACCGGCGGAGGCCGCGGGGGGGTTACACTACCCGAGCTCCTAGGGCCGGAGGCCAGCGCTGGCCGATCTCGCGAGGCGAAACAGCTCAAGCCTCCAGGCGGGGCTGTGTGTGGTCGCACTCGTTGGACTCGCTGATCCACACGCAGGTGTTGGCCAGGCGGTCAAACACGGTGCCGCTGGCGCACTCCTCCTGCCGGCACCGGAACGGGCGGCGTCGGACACGGACACCGACAGGCGGGGAACGGGCCGGTGGGGTGCTGGCCCGCCGCGCCCCTCCACCCGGCGACTCCGCTCCCTCGACGGGGCCGCCGGCTTCGCATGAGCATTGCGGCGTGTGGCAGGTGGTCACGTGATGTCGGTCGGCCCGCCCGTGACTCGGCACCAAAGCCAAGGCGCCATCACGACACATCATCACTGGTCAGTTGTCTACTGCACCGGGGCCCGGGCGCGAACTGCATACGTCGCCCCAAACCGCAAGTGTCGCCAGTGCATGTCGAACTGCAAGTGTCGCCAGTGGATGTCGAACTGCTGTGGTGAGCTGCGTTGGGATGTTCCTCGATCGGACACCAGCCGAGACACCGGCTGTCCGCGAGCGCACGAGTGGCTAGCGCTCACCTGAGTGGCGTCCCAGTGGTCGCCGTCACTGACGCACTCGTAGAAGATGGGCGAGCACATCTTGTCAGGGTCCGGGTTCAGACCATTCCTCTTGCACACGTGGCTGGGGGAGGGTGTCGGCGGCGGGTCGGTCGGCCGGGTGGTCTGTAACAGTCGCCGACAGCTGTCAGAGTTGCGGTTTTATGTCAAGTGTTCTGAAAAGTAAACTTGTTCTCAACGAGCCTGGAGCCCAAAGTTATGCTCTGCTGAATTAAACAAGCTGGTTTTCAAAAACTTTAAGTGATCCTCACAGTCATATGCTTCTTCCTGTTCGCAACATTTGCTCGGAACTGAAAGATCGCATCGCTTGGCAACGTACGAGCAACTTTATTTGCAACAACAGTAGATAGGTATTAATGCCGCTACTGACAGAGCATAGTCCCGCGTCACTAAAACCCGTATGAATAGATGCCTGTCTTAGAGCATTTCAAGCAGTGTGCGTGAAACTCTGTAAAACTGCTCGTTCTCATGGCTTATAACTTAGCAAAGAGCCATCCCGAGTACAACGCATAGGTAGTTGAGAGACGCGTTCGTCAGGAACTCGGCGAGAAAAAATGTAAGAGGTTCATGGATACGAAAGGATGATATTCAAATCGCAAATTTGAGAGTCGGAACATTGTTAACGCGTGGTCGACAGGGTTTGCCATCGTCCAGGTTACAACAGTTGGGGACCAGCGCCTTCCTCCTTTCTTATGGATTCGCACACAATCCGGAAGGGCACAGCGGCAATGTCAAACACCCCGGAGGAGACACAGTCCAAGCGATGGCAGAAAGTGGGGAAAAAGCACTGGAAAAAAAAAACATCAGGCAGTGGTACACAAGACGGCAGTGGACACCGTATGAGTCTGTGGACCCGAAGGCAGCAGACACCATTAGAGCTGTGGATCCGGTGGAGGTGAAAACCGTCGGAGTGCTGGGCTCGGCCTCGACTTACCCGCAACCTTGCCGCCGGTCCGTGTGCAGTCCCTCCCCCCCCCCCTTCCCGCAGCCATCTCTCCGGTCCGGCCGCAGCCGCTGCGGCAGCCCTCTCACCGGTCCGGTGGTGGGCGTGGGTCCGGTTGGATGCGGGATGTCGCCGTTCAGGTTCGTCCAGATGGCTGTCATCAGCGGATTAGGCGCGCCGAAGCCGCACAGGTTATGGAAGTCGTCCGTCTCGATGGACCACACCATGCTGCCACCCAGGCCCATCGACTTGATGTAGTCGGTCTGGTTGGCAGACATGCCCGGTCAGTTGACCATTGGAATGGGGGCGATGGTGTTGCTGATGAGTGCGATGGTCGTGCTGATAAGTGTAA